ATACCATTTCTCATGAAAAGAAACCAGGGTTTCTTAGAGGTACAGCTGATCCTAGCTTTGGGACAGGAAATGTACAAGATAAGAACGGATCATCTTGAAATACCAGATAGGAAGGAAGCTACCGAAGTTTATTAGGGTCACATCAAAAGGCTTTTGGAGAAGCACGAAACAGACTGACACCTCGATGTGGGGTTGGGGGGACAAGAAGAGATAAACCAAAGAACTTACACTTCTTGTATACTTATATGTATAGCCCATGGACACGGGCAATGGGGTAGTGAGACTGGGGGTGGGCGTGGATAGGGGCTGGGAGGAGAGGTAAGGGGGCGGGGGAAGGCTTTGGGAATCAACCTGAAGATTCCATCGGCCATGAAAAGGACACTTTGGGCTTCAGTAAAGTGCAATGGATTGAAACCCATTAGATATGTTTAAACTGTAAATTCAAGATATTTAGAAAGGTTATTGGATCATATTTTGAGGAAAGGAACCAATTTATTAAAATTAGGTAAATAGGATAAAATGGATTTTTCTGCCTTTTTTACATGAGCTATACCAGTGGATATAGCAGATAAGGGGAGGAAGTGACTCCTTATAAAGTTATTCCAGCTAATAAATTAAAATAAAATTAGAATTTCACCAATTTGCAATTCCTCAATGAATTAATGGATCTATGCACTGAAGATCAGCCACTGTATCATCAAAAAGGAGCAAACCCCAGCCACAGTGTGCCTTCTCACCAAAGATCGGCCAGAGTCTGCTCAAGCTGCTGATTCCGCTGCTGGTTTGTAAGAGACACGGGGCCCAAACCATACCGAATGGCACCGGAGTGTCAATCGGTGCAATCCAGACCAAAAAACTCCACAAATAGCTGCCTGGGTCTTCAGCAGAAAGTGGAAGGGGAAGAGATGAGGGGGAAACCTGTAGATTAGAGACTGGAAGAAATGACCTTTAAAAAAAAAAATGGGTAAGACTAGTGTCTAGAGCTGCATACTTGCGATGAAATCACACAGGATACAGGGAGAGCCGGCCTGGCATGGCTCAGTGGTTGAGCGCCGACCTATGAACTAGGAAGTCACAGTTCGATTCCCGATCAGGGCACATGCCCGGGTAGCAGGCTCAATTCCCAGTGTGGGATGTGCAGGAGGCAGCCGATCAATGATTCTCTCACATCATTGATGTTTCTTTCTCTCCCTCTCCCTTCCTCTCTGAAATCAATAAAAATATATTTTTAAAAAAGAAAAGAAAAAAAAAGAACACAGGGAGAGAGGTTACTTTTGGGGGGAGCGATGCTGGCACTGGGATAGAGCACGAATGGGCTTGAGGTGGCTGGCGTGAAGGTTTTATGTCCATTTGGCCGGGTCACAGTGCCAATATTTGGTCAAACGTTGTGGATGTAGTTGTGAGGGTGTTTTTTGGATATTAACATTTAAATTAGTGGACTTTGAGCAAAGCAGATTACCCTCCATAATGCGGGTGGGTCCCATGCAATCAGTTGAAGGTCTTCAGACAATGAAGACTGACCTCCCCTGATCAAGAAGGAAGTCTACCACAGGCTCCTCCCGTGTCTCCAGCCTGCAATTTTGGACTCACCAAGTCTCCACCATCGTGGGAGCCAATTCCTTAAGGTAAATCTCTGTATATGCACACACGTCCTGTTGGTTCTGTTTCTCTGGAGACTCTTGACCAATGCAGCTGGTAAAGTTCTATTTCTTGACCTGAGTGGGAGTGACAAGGGTGTCTGCCTTGTAATTCACTGTGTTTGAATGGTTTTTAATGTTTTGCTTTATAATGAAAAGGAAAAAATAAAGCATAAATTGTAGTTAGGTATGTAAATATGGAGAAAGGGGATTCTAATGATGAATACCAAACTGTATGTGAGGTTTCTGGGGAGAAAAGGGATGGTCAAGCTTTGCTCTGAATGTTTCTGTGCTGCATACTTCATGTGCCAGACAGTGTGTTTGTACATCTGATATAATGAGGTAATACGCAAATTAGCCCTCACGCCCTCACAAGATGGCTGCCTATGACCAAGCAGGCAGGGGGGTTAGTGAGGGACAACCAAATGACTGAGCAAGCAGGCTGCATGGGGCAACCAGGCCAGTGGGGGGCCGTGAGGGGCGACCAGGCCGGCAGGGGAGGTAGTTGGGGGCAACAAGGTCAGCAGAGGGGGGCAGTTAGGGGAGACCAGGATGGAAGGGGGGGCAGTAAGAGGCGACCAGGCTGGCAGGGGGGGGTGGTGGCAGTTAGGGGCTACCAGGCCTGCGGGGGGGGGAGGACAGTTTGGGGCAATTAGGCTGGCAGGGGGGGGCAGTTAGGGGCGACCAGGCAGGCAGGAGGGGTGGTGGCAGTTAGGGGCCACCAGGCCTGCGGGGGGGGGGCAGTTTGGGGCCACCAGGCTGGCAGGGGGGGGGCAGGTAGGGGCGACCAGGCAGGAAGGCGAGCGATTAGGAGCCAGCGGTCCAGGATTGTGAGAGGGATGTCTGACTGCCAGTTTAGGCCCGATCCCTGGGATTGAGCCTAAACCGGCAGTCGGACATCCCCCGAGGGGTCCCAGATTGGAGAGGGTGCAGGCTGGGCTGAGGGGACACCACGCCCCCCCCCCCCCCCCGCATGAATTTCACGCACCGGGCCTCTAGTTTTGGATATAGAGAAAAAACGCTGGTCCTAGTTGTGACGCACATGGAAAGGTCACCCACAATAGAAATCTAAGCCCTTAGAGGAAATGGCGCTCTACAGGGGTGAGACCCACCAACCACAGGAGAAAACAGCAAAGTGTTGAGATTATGAAATCGTCGTTTATTTGATAAATGAAACACAGCTGCTTTCCCCTTTAGCACCATGAACATTCGCACTTCCGTTTGTTAAATAGGCAGATGTACTTCATTTCTACAGATGACAAAGAGCGAAGCGGATCAAGAGGGCAGCTAACAGTTCTAGGAAAACCAGAGCTTTTACCCCAGAGTCTTGAGGCCTTTTAAGACACTCCCTTTAAAACTTCTTTTCAGTATTTGAATTTCTTTGAACATCAGCCAGCACGGAGGTTGCCCATGTTGGGCATGAGCGATAAACACATGCAGTGACCTTGTATTTGTTACGGAAAACCCTAGAGTGCCCCAAACCCAGACAATGCGTTCTTTATCCTGAAGTCACTTGATTAGCCTATGAGAGCCTTACTGAGAAAGGGTGTTTGTGGTGATAAAAAAAAAAACAACACAAAAAACAGCCGTTAGAAATAAAGTATCCCCCTTGAGTTGTCAAGACATAACCCTGCCTGCCAGTCTCCCACCTTCCCTTCCTAACTGCAAACTTCAAAAGCGTCGCTGCCCAAACGGTTCCACAGCACGAACACCAGTGGTCGTAAGTGACAGCTTAGCGGGTGCCACCTTTCCCCTTCGCTTCTCTCCGGCTGGCTAGCTAAACAGCCATCCACTACATGACTTATTTTTAAAAACAGCTTTAGTGAAGTATAATTAGCCACATAATTTCCACTTAGCGTGCACAGTTCGATGGCTTTCCGTCTATTTGAGCTGTACCATCGCCACCACAATTTCTAGAGCATTTCCATCCCCTCAGAAGGAATCTCATGCCCACTAGCAGGCGCCCTGTCCCCGTTTCCTCTCTTCCTGGCCTCGGCACCACCCGCTCTGTCTCTGTAGGCATCGATGGGATCGCGCAGACGGGCTCCTCTCACTTGGCCTAATGTCCGGCATGTCACTGGCTCCTTTCCTTCCCGTTGCTGCATAAAACCCCGCTGTGTGGCTGCAGTTCCTGCTCCTCTTACATGTCTTTAACGAACCCACTGTGAGCACCCCCTGCGCGGGCACCGGCCAAGGGACATAGTCAGGCCACCGTGGCCCTGGCGGAGCTGCGATAACCCTAGGGCACCCCCCCCCCCCCCCGACACACACACACACACACACACAACTGGTGAAGGGCCGACCCTGACACCTGCTGAGAGATGCAAAGAAGGCGCAGACAGGAGAGAAGGGTGGGGAGAAGAGGAAGATGAAGAAGGTTCGGGGGAGAGGCGGCACTTCCAGATACACGGTGAGGCTCTGTGAGGTGGAGGGCAAGGCACTGAGGCAAGAGGAAGAGCAGCGCGGAGGCACAGGAGGCTGCCCGGTGCAGGCCGGCAGAGGGGCGGAGGCACAGGAGGCTGCCCGGTGGAGGCCGGCAGAGGGGCGGAGGCACAGGAGGCTGCCCAGTGGAGGCCGGCAGAGGGGCGGAGGCACAGGAGGCTGCCCGGTGCAGGCGGCAGAGGGGCGGAGGCACAGGAGGCTGCCCGGTGGAGGCCGGCAGAGGGGCGGAGGCACAGGAGGCTGCCCGGTGCAGGCGGCAGAGGGGCGGAGGCACAGGAGGCTGCCCGGGGCAGGTGGCAGAGGGGCGGAGGCACAGGAGGCTGCCCGGGGCAGGCGGCAGAGGGGCGGAGGCACAGGAGGCTGCCCGGTGCAGGCGGCAGAGGGGCGGAGGCACAGGAGGCTGCCCGGTGCAGGCGGCAGAGGGGCAGAGGCACAGGAGGCTGCCCGGTGCAGGCCGGCAGAGGGGCGGAGGCACAGGAGGCTGCCCGGTGCAGGCGGCAGAGGGGCGGAGGCACAGGAGGCTGCCCGGTGCAGGCCGGCAGAGGGGCGGAGGCACAGGAGGCTGCCCGGTGCAGGCCGGCAGAGGGGCGGACGGACGCAGGGCGGCCGGGAAGGAGGCAGGAGGGGAGGCCAGGGCCTGACTGCAGAGTCACGGGCCCCAAATTAACACTCGGCTTCAGTTACAACCTTTATTGTTGTCCATTATTGAGGAATAAAACATAAAAAGCAATCAAAACTTGTATTATTTTCTAAAAGTAGTTTTCCATCCTGAAGACTCGAGGCTCCAGCTTCCAGCTCCTCAGCCCAGAGAGTCTCTCGCTGGCTACAGCAGCCCAAGCGAACTCCTTGCCTCTTAACACAAACAGGCAAAGAGCCTCTTGGAAAGCCAACAGGCCCTTCAACCGGCCAAACCTGAGGTTTCAGAGCCTCCCACGGGCTGCAGGAGACGGGCAGGGGGAAAGGCGAGCAGGCCCTCCGAAAGGCCCGGCCTTCCCTCGCTCCATCCACCTCCGGCCAGCGCACTCCCAGGGTCGGTGTTCACACTTGGAAAAGCAGCGAGACGGCAGCGTTTCAGTAGTAGCCAAGGCACACCTTGTCCATGGACGATTTTATTCTGCAAGAAACAGGAAGAAGCTGGTGAAGCAGGTCAACTCTGGAGACGCAGAGACCAACGTAGCCCAGCCCAGAGCAGGCAGTCACTGGTGACGGGCCCGCCTCACGACGGCCACGGAGAAGGCAGCTATTTCTGCAGCTTCCGCGGGTCTCGTGTGGCTACAGGCGGAGGCAGAAGCCCGCTGCCCACTGGCAGGAGGGAGGGCGGCGCCGCGCCCTCTGCTCTGGGTGACAATGGCCTGTAAGTGCCCTACGCTGGCTCACCTGTCGATCGGGTAGGGTTTCTCACAGAGGTTGACCAGCACGTACAGATGTCTCAGAGCGTACTCGTACTGGAGGGAAACAGACCAGACACAATCAGACATCACCGCACCACGCAATCCGCTCTTCACTTTCATGGTGACAGAGGCGAAGCATCTTGAATAGTGATTCTTGACCTTTTTGGAGTCATGGACCCCCTCCCCACCTTTTGATAAACTGGTAAGATTTATGAACCATCCCCCCAAGGCAGCTGTGTGGGTGGGCAGGCCCCCGAGAGCACGCAGCCCAGGTGAGGACTCCTGGGGGAGAGCCCTCAGGCCCTGCTCCCTCTGGCACCCAGCACCTCCCCTGGCCACCAGCTCCTGCTTCTTGGAACCTCGTTCTGGGAGGGACACGGGGATGAGGGAGACGGATGGTAAGTGAATGCCAAGCCAGACTCTAACAGGCTAAGACCCGAATACCCGGAGATGCTCATCTTGAAGAAAACTTCAGGGGAATCGGAAAACTCTCACGAGGAAAAGGAGGAGATTCACTGTGTGCAATTCCAGAGGCAAAAAGCATTGCAAAGAATATTCATCCGATAAATGGGAAGTTTTAAATTGTTAAATGAGTAAGGAGAGAACTGTGTTAAATAAGTGAAAAAAACAAAAGCTTCCTAATACTGGAGAGCTACCTCTCGTCAGGACCCCCTCCTTGGAAGCCCACGTGACCACGGTCTGCGCATCACAGCCCGACGGAGCCTTCGGCCACGATGGAAACGTGCTGCAGGGTCTGCCGTGAGGGAGCCGCTGCTCACGTGTGGCTACTGGACACATGAAATGTGGCTGGTGCGGCTAAGGAACTGGGCTTCACATGTTACTTCATCTTAACTATTTTAAACCTAAATTCAAGTCCCCACAAGAGGCTAGTGACTACCATACTGAAGGACACAGCTCCAGCAGGAGGGGCAGGCTCTCTCTGTGAAGGGCCAGAAGAGCAGGTATTGTGGTCTGCGGGCTGAATGGCCACTCAGCTCTCCTGCAGTGCAATGTGACCACCAAATGCGGCTGAGTCCTAATAAAACTTTGTTTATAAAAACAGGGGAGAAGAGGGGACCCACGGGCTGCGGGCAGGCCTTGACCTGTGGGCCAGGTTGCTGACCCTTCCCCGGAAGGATCAAGCACCACGTGGTCCTGATCGGAGAGGAGGCTTGCTGGGACCTTCCACCCTCGGCACCGCTCCGCCTCCATGGCCAGGGCCTGGCTTCGACAGTATTTCTTGGGGAGCGGCCAGAGCAGATCCAAAAGGGAGAAAAACCTGTGTGGCTGGTGTGGAGGGCAGGGGTGAGGAGTGGGTGTGGCAGGGACAGAGGTATGAAGAGAAGGGGAGCTGAGACATCTACGGCTGGGGAACTCCTACCCACGGGGCCAGCACTTATGGTCAGCGAGTCTGACAACCTTCTTCCTCTCACCCCTGCTGAAGGCCTCTGAATGAGCCCATTGTTCTCAGCCTGGGTGGACCCTGTGACAAGGTTCCTGGGACAGTGCTGTAGCTTTGGGGTTAGGATGCAGGGCAAGGCCCCGCTGGCCCAGGGGAGCCGGGGCGTAGCCGCAGCAGCCCCGCCCGGCCCGGCTTACCGTGGGGGAGTGCCAGTTGAAGCAGTGCGTGCGGAAGTGGGACACGGCGGCCTGGTAGCAGCTGTGCGCCGTGAGCGGGGCCCTCTCGGACAGGAGCCTCTCCGCCTCGTCATCGGACCTCGTGAGCAAGGAGACGATCTTTCGCACCGACTTCTCCATGATATGCCTGCTCTGTGAGGAAACGCATCTTTTTGAAAGGTGTTGTACTTCACCAGGCCTCTCTCGGGACCCTGGGTGGGTCAGGAGCTTCTCTTCCCACAGCCGCCACCCCCGTATGTTAAAACAGACGCCAACAGGTGCACCCTGCAGGCGGCGGAAGATGTGGCGCCTGTGACAGCCGAAGACCTTGAGAATCCCGTGCCTTACGGACATATTGGCATCTAAATAGCTTAGGAGCAGGCAAAGGTCCCACTCCACGGAAAGAAGGGAAAGGCTCAACTCCCAAATAGACTGATGTCCAAAGGGTCAAGGGCTGATTCCCGATCAGAGACATGTACCTGGGTTGCAGGCTTGAGTCCCTGGTTCTGGTCAGGGCAGGGTGGGAGGCAACCAATGGATGTGTCTCTCTCACATACTCTTTCCCTCTCTCTCTCTCTCTTTCCCCACCTTCTATCCCTCCCTTCCACTCTCTCTAAAAAACCAATTGAAAAATATCCTCGGGTAAGGATTAACAGTAACAAAAATTATTTTCATTTCTAAATGACTTAATACTTTTTAAATCTCAGTGTTCATTTCTAATGCAGGAAATACTGATATAACCCACATAAATATTAGCTCTCCGGGGTGAATAACTTTAAGAGTGTAAATCGGCCTAAAGCTAAAGAAGTATAACAATGCTGGTCACACTGTGGGATGGACAAAGTGCATTATGTCCTGGTTATTACAGCGCAACAGTGCGAGAGACCCACCGCAGGGATCAGATACAGGGTGAGGAAAAGTAAGTTTACGTTGTTCCTATGGGAAATTACACAATAGTTACTAAATAACAACGCAAGAATAACCGTGTTTTGTGCAAACTGTAAGCCAACTGTAGCCCCACCCTGTATATGCATTTAAAACACATCACAGATGTTTCTCTTCTCTGGAAAACTCAGGCCACGCTCCGCCCAGCACGTCAATCCCCGTGCTTGCTGATGAGGGGACAGCGTGAACATGGAGCTGGCTCTGCTGCCGGGACCGCCAGCCCCGCCCAGCACCCCAGTGGGTGCCCGCCTGGGGGTGCTCGCTGCACAGCGGTGATTTGCCAGGTAATTCTGCCAGCTCCAAGCAAGCGGACGAGCTACTAACAACAAACTCCGTGACCATAAAGGACAGCCCAAGCATCTGAAGGACTTTAGGCTCTGACTAGGGTTTCCTAAGGCAGTAGACATTTTAGTAGATTGGATTTAAAATATATAAATATGATTAATAACTCACCAAGCATCAAAATGAAAACGTCTAAGCAACCAGGAATGAAAGGGAAAACATACCCGCCCATCTGCCGTGGGCTCTGGGCAGGACACAGCAAAGGCCCTACTCCTTTGCTCCCTGCACCGGAGGTCAAGGTCAGCCACCAATCACGAATGAAGACCACCTCTGCCCTGCTCAGGGCCTTCTATCTACACAGAAACCACAGCCAGGATCCTTTCCCAAACTCTCACGTGCAGGAGGAGGGGTGGCCCCGGAGCTCGGCCCCGGCTCCCCGCAGCACTCGGGAGGCAGAGGCCCAGCGCGCGAGGCTGGGAGCGGCCCCCGTCCCAGGACTCACCTCCAGGTGCCTGTGGATCTGCTCGACAAGGCGCCTGGACTCCTGCAGGTCGTTGGTGAGCATCAGCTTCCGCTTCATGATCATGAGGGGCACCTCGGGGCTCGGAGTGAGGTCCAGGTGGGGGGCGGGAGGCAGGGAGATGGGGGCGCTGGCTCTGTGTTTCACACCCTGGAACTGCATCAGTTTCATGGTAGAGATGGACTGCGGGGGGGGGGGGGGGGGGGGGTTGGAGAGAGAGAGAGAGAAACGGGTTGGAATGGGAAGAGCAGATGGGCCAGCCTCATCCTGGTCCTGGAGGCCCACAGTTCACGCCGCATAGTTTCGGTACCACTGAAGGGCCAGCATCGCAGCCTGAAAACTGGCTGCGACCTTGTCCAGACAGCCCTGGTGAACCTATTTCATGACCCAAGACCCTCTAGACCAGGGGTCCTCAAACTTTTTAAACAGGGGCCAGTTCACTGTCCCTCAGACCGTTGGAGGGCCGGACTATAGTTTAAAAAAAAAAACTATGAACAGATTTCTATGCATACTGCACATATCTTATTTTGAAGTAAAAAAACAAACGGGAACAAATACAATATTTGTATTTGCATGTGGCCCGCAGGCCGTAGTTTGAGGACCCCTGCTCTAGACAGAGTTGGAAGGGGAACGTCTCTAACTTACAGCCAAAGGGTCAAGGTAACGCCTGCAACCTGCAGAGCGAGGCAGGACCCGGGCCATCCGAGGCGTGGGTTCTGTGGGCCCTGCCCGGGACGCTGGAGCAGCTGCCGACAGAGGGACCTCCCCGTGTGCCTGGCCCGTGTTTAGTGTTTCTCACGCATGACCTTCTTGAATGCCCCTAATTACCCCACAGGCGAGGGCTCTGACAATGGAGGAAATGGAGACCCAGGTTAGGTAGCTTGCCCCTAAGTCTCACGACTTTGCCAGTTTGACCCTAGCAAGGTCCGATTCCAAAGCCTAATCAGGTTCCAGGGATGGAGTGCCCATGAGAGGCGAGGCCACCCCTACGCCAGCCATCTCTCCCCCAGGCCCCGCTCCTTCACCAAGACTTAACGTCCGCGGCCAGGGACTGGGGACCGACAAGACTCACCTTGTTCCCATACTGCATGACGTGGCTGGTGTTGGTGTGGGTCTTTACCAGCTGGTACTGCTTGTGGAGAGTCTCCTTGGTCAAGTCCTCCTGCAAAAATGTGAACAGTAGGTCCCTCGACCATCCCAGCCTGAAGGCTAAGCCTCAGCTGGACAGCCTGCCCCTGCAGGGCTCACCACGTCCGAGTCCTCCATCCAGTTGACGCTGTACCAGTCCCCCAGGTACGTGGACCTCTGCTCATCGTAGTAACAGGCGTAGGATGACTCGTCGGGATTGGCGGCAGTCGTTGCATAAACTGCGAGGGATTAAAGACACCTTTCAGTCACGTTTTATTCTCTGCTGTGGATCCCACGTGAAGCTGAGTCTTTCCTCCTCTGGTGCAAAGTGCCATCCTCGGTCAGCACGGGAGGGCGGGGAGACGCCGCGCACCCAGCGCTGTTCGCTCAGTTACGATTACGCGACTCAAATGACACGTGGAAGGAGGAGAAGCCAGCTGATGGGCACTTGGGACAGCAGTAACCAGGCACGCGGGCTTTTAGGACATGGAGCTGTTCTGGAATAATCTGCAAGATTTCAACAGCTCCGGCAACTGGAAGAACACGCACCGCACTTAGTTTCTGGAGAGAGTTAACATTTACGGACGGAACAGGCTGGCTCAACCTCTGCAATAGCCACCATTTCAGGCTCAAAACTGTGCCTGACAAATGTTATCACTTAAAATGATAAACAAATAAACAGGCGTTATCGTTACACCCATTTTACAGGCGGAATACCTGAGGGTCAAGAGGGTAGTCACCTGGCCAAGACCAGAGCCAGCAAGCACCACGCCTCAGAGGACCGGGCCAGTCCCAAGACGGCGATGGTGGATCCACGGAGCTTTACAAATCCTGGACGAGCACCGTGACACTCACGTGCTGATTCCTTCTTTTCTGGCCACTAATCCCCGAGGACTAGAGGGAGCCCAGCGCTGCCCACACCTATCTCCCCACTTTGACGGCTGCCCTAGGCCCCCGCTTATGTAGACGTCTTGGTTCTTCACAGTGGCAGAATCAGAGATTGACCAACTGCACCCGCGAGCCACGGGCTCACCCGGCCTGGCCCAGAGGCCAGGGCTCCCACCACCTACCATTGATGTCGGTGGGCAGGTGTCTCATCATGGACCCAGACTCGCAGGCTTCAATGTAGAACACCATCTGCGAGGTGAACGAGACAGGTGGGCTCAGCCCTCGGCCAGGCAGACGCTCCCCAAAGCTGCTTCGGCTCTGCCTGCTCTGACCCACCCTAAGAGTCTTTCGCTTTTGCTTTGGGAGACATCTCTGCTGCCAGAGGCTGCAGAAGCTGCTGCCACACAGACCAGAAAGACTCGGGTTTATTCGTCACTAAAAGAATAAACGATCTATTAGCTGAAAGAATGCGGGAAAATGGAGCCTCAGACGATGCAAAGGACACTTTCACCGTCCAGCATGGGGAGCTGGGGCGGCCGGCTGTCTTCCCACGGTGCCACCACGTCCGGGCCTGAGCTGTGCAGCTTCTATTAAGGATGCTACAGGCGAGCGAGGGCCAAGGTGAAAATAACATGGTGACATGTTCCTCCCAACTGCCCCACGTTGCTGACAGTCCTAGGAACAGTGCTCCTCAAGGTACGGTCCCAGGCCCAGCAGCTCAGCGCCAACTCGAGGGCAAATTCTCAGGCCTCTCCCCAGACCTGAGTCAAACTCTTTGTTGCAACAAGATGCCCGTGATTCTGATCTACTAGCTAAAGCCCTAGGAGCAGAAAAGGTCCATCCTGGGAAACTGACCAAAAGGGCCCTCTTTCCAGAAAACACTGCCGCCCAGAGTCAGAGGCACATCCTGGAGGTGGGCGCTGCGTCCGCTGCCTTCCTCGTACCGCCCCCCTACAGCCACCCCAAAGCCAACCTTACCTTTTGGTACTTCCTGTGTTTGTACATGTACTTGATGGTCTCATTCAGGTCCTTCACATGAAGCTAAAAGGTAAGAACACTGGCATTCAGATCAGGACCTCCAGGTAACCCACAGTGAAGTCCCAATGCGCTTTGGAATTCTATTTACCGATCCCCAGAAACAGTCCTAGTGAGCAGCATCCAGACGCCAGTCACCCAAGGGTTTATTCACAGATTTAAAAAGGACAGAACATGCTTCCGCACTCCTCACTCTGCCCACAGCATTCAGGGACAGGGGTCTATTACTGTGTGAAGGGCAAGGCTCCCAGGTGCTGAGACAGCCCCTGAGGCAGTGATATGTGGAAAAATGTCAGGAAAAGTGGCCGAGGGGGTGCCCCAGGGAGATTTCAAGCTGCTAAATGTGTGCCCCACACACCTCCCTGGTGGGACGCCAGGAACCCACATCGAGGGTTTAATGGCACCACCGCGTTCTGCTCCCCACCCTCGTGTTGAGGAAAACTCACATCGTCGTTAGGAAAGGCCAGTAGTCCAGTAGCTCCATGATCAGTGAAGTAAACAAACACGTGATCCTGGGGGCCGCTGCCACAAGAGAACGAGAGTCAGAGTCCACCGTTTCCTATTCTATTTCTCTGAAAAGTCGCCCTTACCCATCCACCCCACCCCACCCACCCCCTAAAAAAACCAAAACTAAGAAGTTTGTGGACTACAGTCCCCCACCCAGGTACAAAAAGGAACACAAGGCCTGCCGCCCTCTGACCAGCTGAGTGCTATTCTGAGCACAAGGCAAATCCTAGGGCCTGGGACTGAGTCAGGAGGAGACCCGTGCTGAGCAGATCATCAGACAGACCAGGTGTGATTTGCAGAGCAGGGTCCTTTGGCAATTGGGCCTCATCCCAAGCAGTCACATGCTCTAACCAGATGTCCCCCAAATGAGTAAGGGAGCCACGACACACATCCAAACGTGTCCTGCAGCTCCAGCTCCCTCCGGGCCCCGGGCCTGCACAGTCAGGGACCCCACCTGCCCACCCTCGCCAGGGATTCCACTCGGGGCGCTGCTTCGAGTCTGCAGAAATGTGCTAGCTACCTTGGAACCAATTTGGTGCATCCCACACAACTGTCCATCTCTGCTCTAACGCACATGAGCTTACTATGCCCAGGTCTCCCTAGAGTGAGAGAAACAGTGCTGTTTGCCAAGTACCTGGGACTCTCTGAAGGCATGCTTTTAAAGGCCCTGACATCATGTGAAAATGCTACAGAAAGAGAAGCTAAAGAGGACACATCTCTCGCCCACAGGCGTCGGGGCAAGCACTGGTATGAGCTTTCCCACCACAAAGGTTAGCTCCGGACTCATGAGTGTGCTCCCCCCACTGCGCTGCCCCGTGATCAGAGAACAGGGCTGGCGGCAGGTGTGGCCCTGTGACCTGACAGCTGCGGGGCTTCACACCAGTCTCGGGATGTGCCACTGGCTGTGGAATGTACAGCACTAGGATCCGTGATGGGGGACCCTGGGTCACAGGGTTAACGTGGTGCAGCAATGGGCTGCCAAAGGAGCCATCCAACCTGCACGACCGGTCTTAACTCAGGACAGAGCACCCCGCTCTGCCGTTTCCCAAGTCGGGAGCCAAGACCAACTCGATTCTGGGCTGCCAGGTCATTCAGAAAAGTGTGATGGCGTAAAGCGAGCAGGCATTACCTCTTCAAGACCTTTCCGGACCCTATGCCCTTCACTGCTTCTTCATCGCCTCGCAGCACAGCAAGGAAATTTTTCGGTGTGACATCCTACAAGGAAGTGGGAGTTGAAGTCAGGCGTGTCATTCCAAGTCAGAGGTTTGCTGAGTCTGTGCAGACCCGGGCCACCAGCCCACACATCTCCAGGGCCCGAGGTTTAAGAGCAAACGCTTGGGAACCAAGGAAGACCCAATAAGGCTGATGTCTCCGGGACATGTGCATGGCCTCTCCTCAAAGAACATCTCGTCTCTGGCTGATGCACTGAGCAAGCCTGCGTTCCTTCTCGGCCGCTAGAAAGGCCGTGCGGAGAGACCCGAAGGTGCCGGGCAGTAGGGTAGGAGGTAGAGGAAGAGCATATCACCCGGGAGAAGGCAAAGAGGCAGCAGGAACTGCCGGAAGCCGGTCCATGCTTGCTGTTTCAAGGGACCTGGCATATATGGCATACTGTTCTTAATATGTTTGCTCACCTTCTTGGCACTATGTGTTTTAACCAAGGTCTCTGAGAAAGGTTGTTTCCCCAGGTAGGGATTTTCCCCTGAAGTTAGGGAGGGAATAAAACCTCTTAACTAAGTGCCAGGCGGGTAATTAATCACTTTAACTATGAACAATCATGCTTAAGCTACATAATCTTTACTCCCTGGAATGGAGATAAGAAACGCCCTAACCTTTGGAATAGAGATTGATAGGATTGGAGTCAACTGGTATAAATACAGATGTAACAAGACAAGAGAAGACAGAACCTACACACAGAACTTAGAAGAGAGAACCAAGAGAGACAGAACCTAGGCACAGAACCTACACAGAACGTTCTCTAGAGACAGAAGAACTTCGCTGGAGAGAACATGGCAAAAGATCCTGGACAGAAACTGGCCTCAGAACCTAGAGACAGAACCTAGCGAGAGAACATGGCAAAAGATCCTGGACTGAACCTGACTACAGAAATTGGCAAGAGAACCTGACTAGAACCTGGTGACTGAACCTGGCTGGAGAACCTGGACAGAACCTGGCTGGAGAACCTAGCGAGGGAACATGGCTATAGAACCTGGCTGGGGAACCTAGCAAGAGAACATGGACACAGACCCTGGCAGGAGATCCTAAGCAGAACCTCTCTGGAGATCCAGACCAGAACTTGGCTGGAGATCCTGGCTGGAGATCCTGGCTAGGCTGCTGATCAACTGAACGCTGTCTCCGTGTCCTTCCTTCTTCGCCGACTCCGTCTACGCCTTTGGGGACCCCTGGACCTGCTGGGGCTGGACCCCGGCATCTGGCGCCCGAACTGGGACCCCTAGGTAAGCCCCACTCTCGGGATGGATAGGACTCCACCGTAGGAAGAGGGTGGATAGTCTTCGCCGACTCCGTCCACACCTTTGGGGACCCCTGGACCTGCTGGGGCAGGACCCCAGCAAGGAACGTCTGCACTGGGCCCACCCTTGCCCAGCTTGTCGCCTAAAAGGCCAAATCCTGAGGACATGGGATGTCCCTAAAGGAGACTTTCTAAACTGATACTCATTGAAAACAAAGCAACACAGGAAAGCACCAAGGGGAACAAAAATCCCACCACTTCGATTCCAGACATTTCCTTACACAGGGTGGGGCCAAAGTAGGTTTACAGTTGTAAGTACATGAAAGTTTATTCTTTATTAATTTTTGTATTCTTTCCCATACAAACTGTAAACCTGTAAACCAACTTTGGCCCCACCCTGTAAAATTATGTAGAAACAATTTCATAAAGAAGGGATCATCCATATTACATGTAAATTCAATTTAACTGTACTTGAATTTAAGAGAGAACACTGAAACTGAAAGGACTGCTAAACTTCAGAGAAACACTTATCACCAGGAATATCAGTTCCTGAAAGATCCCTCTCATAGTAAGAAAAGGAGATGATGAAGCCCGGCCAGAGTGGCTCAGTGGTTGAGCGTCAACCTATGAACCAGGAGGTCACTGTTTTATTCCTGGTCAGGCCACATGCCCGAGTTGGGGGCTGGATCCCCAGTGTGAGGAGTGCAGGAGGCAGATGATCCATGTATGTCTCTCACCGATGTTTCTCACACTCTCTCTCTCTGTCTCTCTCTTCCTCTCTAAAAATCAATCCTATCTAATAAAAGACAAAAAGGGTAATTAACTGTACCTCCGCTACGCTTCCCATTGGCTAATCAGGGCAATATGCAAATTAACACATTTCGTACCGCTCAGGAGTTTTCTCGTGTTTCATGCGCCATCTGTTAAGGACCGCTCATGAGTGTTCTCGTTTCTCACGCCCATGGAAAAAGGAGCGAATCTAGATACTCATGTAAATTTTGTTTGGTACCTCTTCATAGAGGAAAACGTTTTACGCAGTACCATACGTTAAAAAAGTACTAGGAACTTTAATTGTTTAATTGTTTTTGTAAATAAAAATAATTATTGAAAAACACCTAAAGTGCATTATGATAATTTAAATAACGTGCAGTTTGCCCAAAACCGTGCGGTCCCTGGCGTATGTCTTAGAGATTTCTATGCGGTACGCAATGTGTTAACTGCCAACAAGGATGGCGGCCAGCAGCCACGCAGCTGAAGCGAGCAGGAGGCTTGCTTGCTCCAGTGATGGAGGAAGCCAAGGTTCCCCGCCTGCCGCCGCCCGGCTCTGAGCCCGAAAGCAACAACATTTCAATTATAGAAGCTAAACAAACCCCAGAAACCTGCTTTCAGCAGGCCGCGGCCTGAGCTGAGAGCGCCAGTGATGGCAACAATGTTTCAATTATAGGAGGTAAATAAATCCCAGGAAAAAAAAGAGAAAAAAGGAGAGGCTAGGAGCTTCAGTCCCAGCCAGCCTGAAAACGGCCCTCAGCCCCTCACCCAGACTGGCCAGGCACCCCAGTGGGGACCCCCACCCTAAAGGGGGTGTGGCCAGCCTGAAAACAGCCATCAGCCCCTCACCCAGGCTGGCCAGGCACCCAAGCGGGACCCCCACCCTGATCCGGGACACCCTTCATGGCAAACCAGCCAGCCCCCACCCGTGCACCAGGCCTCTATCCTATGTAGTAAAAGGGTAATATGCAAACTGACCCTAACAGCAGAAAGACTGGGAATGACTGGTCACTATGACACACACTGACCACCAGGGGGCAGACGCTCAATGCAGGAGCTGCCCTCTGGTGGTCAGTGCGCTCCCACATGGGGGAGCTCTGCTCAGCCACAAGCCAGGCTGATGGCTGCCAGTACAGCGGTGGTGGTAGGAGCCTCTCCTGCCTCCTCAGCAGCGCTAAGGATGTCCGACTGCAGCTTAGGTCTGCTCTCCACTGGCAAGTGGACATCCCCCAAGGGCTGCCGGGCTGCCAGAGGGATGTCTGATTGCCATCTTAGGCCCAATCCCCCGGGGAACAGGCCTAAGTCAGCAGGTGGTCATCCCCCAAGGGGTCCCAGACTGCGAGAGGTCACAGGCCGGGCTGAGGGGTCCCCCCTCCCCCCAAAGTGCACAAATTTTTGTGCACTGGGCCTCTAGTAAATACATATAAAGACTGGAAACTAAAGATTGGTAGACTACAACTTATTTCTTACTGTTTTCTTTCCTTTTTTCCTTCTACTTTCCATCAAAGCTCTCAAAAATTACTCAAGCACATATCCTAATACAAATATGAACCACCAATCAGAAATCAGTTTAGTGAGGTTCTGATGCCAGAAATACACAAAACAGGAAAATCATCACAAAAATGAGAATAAATGCATCTGGCACCAGGGCCACATGCTGCCGGCCTCACCTCCCCGGTGTAGTCCTTCAGGACCCCCTTGTACACGTCCGAGCCGTTGGGCCTGTTGATCACAACTCCTGGAGTGGGGTTTCTGAAATTCAAAGGACACAAACTCTGACATGTCTCTGAAATCTCTCTCTTCAAAACTACGCCCGTTACACAGAAAGACAGTAACGGTCTGTCTGTCTAAGACACTGCTCATCGCCTGACAGTCATCAAGTGCAGTGATTTCAGCAGCTTGGGGATCCCGGTCATCCCGCAAGTCAAGCTCTTGGCAGGAGCAGTGAAGTCCGAGTTCTGACACTCAGGACAGGGACCAAAGCCTAGGTGTGCCTGGGTTCCCTCCCACTGGAAACCACACAGCATCCCGGGGCCACGTCTCACAGAGATCTCTCAGAGCAAAGCAACTTGTAGGAAAAGATGGGACACGTCTGGTAAGCGTGGCACACATCTGCCTGGCAGACAAGGATGTTAACAAGAGAGTTTAGGCATTAAAGCTCAGCGTGGAAACTGAGCTGCCCTGTGATCTCGGGACGGGGCAGTGGCCTTCGTGGGGGCCACAGCGGGTGACCAGGAGCAGAGGAGATTCGCACTGCCTAGATTTCGTGCCCAGACTTGCTGTTCCTCCTCTCCTCCAGAAGTCAGATAAGCAGGCGCGACATAACTATTTGTAAACGTAAATTAAATGAGTAATAGTAAAACAGGCATGTAAAGGTGGTGGGATCCACCCTGCAAGATGAGCCCTCTGCGTACAGGTTGCGGAGGGTCCCCCCCATGCTGTCTGCCTGCTTGGAGGTCAGGGACAAGCACCTCAGGACCCAGTGACCAGGTCTCCAGGAGGAAGAGGAACGTATTGTGCTTTCAACACTTCGAAAGCGCCAGCCCCAAACCCCCTTCGGCACCCACTGCCCATGTCCCTGCCACTGCCAGGGTGCCCCAAGCTATGTGCAAAGCTCTATGTGAAGCAGCCCTGTGAAATTCCACCTGCGAGTCTGTTTCGTCCCAATGGGAGGCCACTGGTGTAAGGACGCCACCCGCGAGAGCGCTGCGTACTTACTCTTCAGAGTTGGCGATGTCATCGTACATCATCACCACGATCTGCTCGTCGGGAATCCCGTTGCGGTGGACGATCTGGTAGGCGTGGCACGCATCTGCCTGGGAGACAAGATTTCAGCAAGCCTTAGATTTTGCCCAGGGGGAGGTGAGGTTTGGGGTTCTAACGAGCAGCACGTTCTTTCTCCAGGAAGGCATGCTGGGAGTCGCTCCCTGTTGGCCAGGTCTTTAAATTATTTTAGAACAAAGAACTGTTACTGAGAACCAAGATGGTGGCATAGGTTAACGCCGGAGATTGCTGCCTTGAACAACCAAATCAAAACACACCTAAAAGACGGAACGGACATCACCCAGAACCACAGGAAGGCTGGCTGAGTGGAAATTCTACAACTAGGAGGAAAGAGAATATCATACCCAGACTCAGAGGAGGCGCGGTGCTGAAGTGAAATACTCAGGTACGGAGTGCGCGGAGCGGGCTGGCGGCGAGGGCGCGGTTGGTGCTTTCAATCAGGAGGGAGTCTCAGATTCTGAGCTCCAGATCCGGGCGGAGTCTCTAGGGACCCAGACTCAAACGGGAGAAGCGGGACTGTCTGGCTTCGGTCGGAACTCGAAGGCAGCTTTCTCTCCGAGGTTTGCAGCGGTTGCTGGGACTCTGTGAGGCAGAGCCCCTAGGGACGGAACTGAGAGCCGCCATAACTGCTCTCTCCGGCCCACCCTGTTGATCCTGAGCCCGAGCGACCCACCCGCCTCGCCCAAGCCCTGCGCAGAGCCATTTGCCAGATAGCCTCAGGCAAAGGCTAGATTAGCACCTCCCTAGAGATCCAGCACAGAAGTTTTCCCACTGCAGACACAGCTGATTCTCACAGCCAGCTGGCCTGGAGGTCAAATCCCCCTAGTATTAACTACAACAATCAAGGCTCAACTATAGGAGGTCTGCACACAAAGACCACTAGGGGGTGCACCAAGAAAGCATAAAAAAATGCGGAGACAAAGAAACAGGACAAAACTGTCAATGGAGGATATTCAGTTCAGAACCACACTTTTAAGGTCTCTCAAGAACTGTCTAGAAGCCGCTGATAAACTTAATGAGATCCTCAACAAATCTAATGAGACCCTCGATGTTATGATAAAGAACCAACTAGAAATTAAACATACACGGACTGAAATAACGAATATTATACAGACTCCCAACAGCAGACCAGAGGACCGCAAGAATCAAGGCAAAGATTTGAAATGCGAAGAAGCTAAAAACACCCAACCGGAAAAGCAAAATGAAAAAAGAATCCGAAAATACGAAGATAGGGTAAGGAGCCTCTGGGACAGCTTCAAACGTACCAACATCAGAATTATAGGGGTGCCAGAAGATGAGAGAGAGCAAGATATTGAAAACCTATTTGAAGAAATAATGACAGAAAACTTCCCCCACCTGGTGAAAGAAATAGACTTACAGGTCCAAGAAGCACGAAGAACCCCAAACAAAAGGAATCCAAAGAGGACCACACCAAGACACATCATAATTAAAATGCCAAGAGCAAAAGACAAAGAGAGACTCTTGAGAGCAGCAAGAGAAAGACAGTCAGTTACCTACAAGGGAATACCCATACGACTGTCAGCTGATTTCTCAACAGAAACTTTGCAGGCCAGAAGGGAATGGCAAGAAATATTCAAAGTGATGAATACCAAGAACCTACAACCAAGATTACTTTATCCAGCAAAGCTATCATTCAGAACTGAAGGTCAGATAAAGAGTTTCACAGATAAGGAAAAGCTAAAGGAGTTCATCACCACCAAACCAGTATTATATGAAATGCTGAAAGGTATCCTTTAAGAAGAGGAAGAAGAAGAAGAAAAAGGTAAAGATACAAATTATGAACAACAAACATGCATCTATCAACAAGTGAATCTAAGAATCAAGTGAATAAATAATCTGGTGATCATAATAGAATCAGGGACATAGAAAGGGAATGGACTGACTATTCTTGGGGGGGAAAGGGGTGTGGGAGATGCGGGAAGAGACTGGACAAAAATCGTGCACCTATGGATGAGGACAGTGGGTGGGGAGTGAGGGAGGAGGGTGGGGCGGGAACTGGGAGGAGGGGAGTTATGGGGGGAAAAAAGAGAAACAAATGTAATAATCTGAACAATAAAGATTTAATTAAGAAAAAAAAAGTAAAAAAAAAATTAATTATTTTAGAACATAGACATTTGTATTTTTGCACTCAATTTTTAAAAATCTCACTCCGCCTCCATTATCCAAGCTCTTATTCATCAAGCAGTTAACATACATGTGGACTACACACACACACACACACACACACGGACATACAAACCACCACCACTGTATCCACAGGTAACAAGAGCCTTTAAAAGAAAATCAGTATTATGTTAGATTTAACTCACCCTTACAATGATGGTGGAAGTGAGCAGACACACCCACCAACTCACCTATTATTTATTACTCTTGTCTGAACACAGGCTCATTAAAAAACAAAAACTTAAAGAGTAAATCTAACAAAATCAGTGCTCACACACTGCAAATTACAAGATATTGCTGAGGGAAATTAAAGATCTAGACCAGTGGTTCTCAACCTGTGGGTCATGACCCCTTTGGCGGTTGAACGACCCTTTCACAGGGGTCGCCTAAGACCATCCTGCATATCAGATATTTACATTACGATTCATAACAGTAGCAACGTTACAGTTATGAAGTAGCAACGAAAATAATTTTATGGTTGGGTCACAACATGAGGAACTGTATTTAAAGAGCCAGAAGGTTGAGAACCACTGATCTAGACAAAAAGAGGCATCTTATATTCATGGATCAGAAGTCTTAGCACTTGTAAATTTTCAAAAAAAGATCAGCAGGTTTTTGCAGAAACTGACAAGGATGATCCTAAAATTTATATAAAATTGCAAAAGACCTAGAATAGACAAATTTTGAAAAAGAACAGAGTTGGAGGACTTTCACTTCCTGATTTCAAAACTACTCCAGGGAAAGAACAGTCTTTCAACAAATGGTGCTGAGACTATTTGGATATCTACATGGAAGGAGATGAACGTAGGCCCTCACTTCACTCTTGTGAGAATTAGATCAAAGTGGATCATAGACTTAACTGTAAGGGCTAAAACAAAACTTTTGGAAGGCAACAAAATCTTTGGAACCTTGAGTTATAACTGCAAAGATGTTACAGATATATCACCAAAAGTCTGGTCTATAAAAGAAAAAATTTGATAAATTGGACATCATCAAAATGAAAAACCTTAGCACTTCAAAAGACACCATTAAGAAAATGAAAAGACAAGCAACCCAGGAAGAGAAAATATTTGCAAAACACATTATCTAACAGGACTTGTCAGAATTTGCAAAGAACTCTTGTACCTCAATAAAATAATCAACCTAGAAAAAAAAAAGATTTTAGTAAAGATCACTTAAGAAGAGAAGTATGGAAGTGTCCGAGGTCTCGGGAGGTTGTGGGCGCTCGTTGGGGAAGCGGCTCGTCGGTGCCCCGGGCTGCTAAGCTCCCGCTGCCTGCCTTCCCGCAGCACGGCCGCAGGGCCATGCTGGCTTCGCGCGTGGCGCGGGCCCGTGGGGTGCCCTGCGCTGGGCCACATGGGCGTGCGGGGCGCGACCGGGCAAGGGGCGCGCCCTCGGGGCCCTGCTGCCGCCCGCCCCCATCTGCCTGGGCTGCCTGGCGGAGCGCTGTTGGCTGCGCCCGGCCGCGCTCGGCCTGGGGCTGCCTGGGGCCGGCCCGCGGGGCCACTGCTCAGGCGCGGGGAAGGCGACCCCGGAGCCCCCGACCCCGGAGCCCCCAGCCGGAGAGGGCGCCGCCCCGGAGGCCCCGGGCGGCCCAGCGAGTGCCGCCAGCCTGTATGAAAACCCATGGACAATACCAGATATGTTGTCAATGACGAGAATTGGCTTGGCTCCAGTTTTGGGCTATTTGATCATTGAAGAAGATTTTAATGTGGCACTAGGAGTTCTTGCTTTAGCTGGGCTAACTGATTTGTTGGATGGATTTATTGCTCGAAACTGGGCCAGTCAAAAATCAGCTTTGGGAAGTGCTCTTGATCCACTTGCTGATAAAATACTTATCAGTATCTTATAGGTCAGCTTGACCTATGCAGACCTTATTCCAGTTCCACTTACTTATATGATAATTTCAAGAGATATAATGTTGATTGTTGCTGTTTTTTATGTCAGATATCGAACTCTTCCAGAACCGCGAACACTTTCTAAGTATTTCAATCCTTGCTATGCTACTGCTAGGTTAAAACCAACCTTCATCAGCAAGGTAAACACAGCAGTCCAGTTAATCTTGGTAGCAGCTTCTTTGGGAGCTCCGGTTTTCAATTATGCTCACGGCTTTTATCTTCCGATACTCTGGTGTTTTACAGCTTTCACCACAGTTGCATCAGCTTACAGTTATCGTTACGGTCGGAAAACTGTTCAGGTGATAAATGGCAGATGAAGGTCATCCGCCATCATTAGCAAGGAAGCAATATACATCATTGGCAGCAGGGCCAGTGGAAATGTACAGGAGTCTCCCTACTTTGAAAAAGGACTTGTCAGATCAAACCATGTCATCAGTATTTAATGTGCATTGAAAATAAGCTTGATCATGGGCATATGCAGTATTTCCAATGTATTTTTAAATACAAATAAAACTATCATTTAGAATTTTTTACCTTAGGTTTCTTGATTAACTTATGAGGAATCAATTCCAATTATTGTCAGTCATTTTTTAATATATTTTTTTAAAAAGTAGTGTCCAGAGCATGGAAACTGGAGAATTGCCACTTCTCTTTAATAGAACTTAGATCGCTCTCAATGCATTGGGGAATTTCCTAGGTTTAAATATATGTAACCTACGCAAGGCTATACAACTTTAAGTTTAATTTGATCAGTATGTATATTAACAGTTAATGTGGTTAATAGTTGATCATTTAGGCTAATGACAATAAAGGTACCTTAGTTGTAGATGAAGTAAACTTGTAAAGAGATTATAAAGATCAAAATAGAAGGTATTGAAGTTCATATTCAGTAGTCTTCCAACCTTTCAGGTGCCTAATAGTTTATCAGGATAACAAGTAACAGAAGTAGT